GTACTTTTCATATACTTAAAGAATTATATTAGTATGTCAATGTAAATATAGTAATATTTTTAAAATATGAATATAAAGCTAAAAAGCATATACAGATAAAACAAAATGAATCATATAATTATTAAATTTTAAATACGAGTTTCACTATTATATTTTATAAAATTATAAATATATGCTTAACTTTTTTTAACAAAAAAAAATATATGTTTAGCTCTTGCAACTAAATATTGTTTTTCTTTTTCATTTATTATGTTATAAGTGTGAAGTATTTAACGATTTATTAATAATTATTTTTTAATGGAGAACTTAATTAATTGACTTCCTATAGTTAATGAGAACTCTTTTCTCAACTTTTTTTTTCATCTATAAAATTTAAATTCAAAACTTTATTTAATAAATTTAAGTTTAATTTTACTCAGACTAATAATTATATATATATATAGAGAGAGAGAGAGAAGAGGGGTCCTTTTACTCCATGAGTAAGTTTACCTAGACTTACTCCGTTCAATAACTAATGTTTTACATCAAATTTTAACGATCCAATCGTTCAATTTAAAGTTCTTAATGCATAAATCAAATCTACAAATTTTTAAAAAATTTGAAAATCATTTGATACTTCATTTCATTAATTTGAATCAATGTATAAAATGATTTTATGATCCTAAATCTCAATCTTCCCAACACACACAAAAGATAAACAAGAGAAAAGTTAATCTCATTTATTTCTATATATGCTTTGCATATAAGATATTTTTATATTAAATAATATTTTTAATGGTATATTATATGAGTTGTTTAAATAAATATTTAATTATATTCTTTTTTAACTCTATATAAATAAATATTTCAGTTATATATATATATAAGGAGATATCTTTTTACTCTGAGAGTAAGTCTACCTAGACTTACTCCGTTAAATAATTCATTCTACATCAAATTTTAACGATTCAACCATTCAATTTAAAGTTCTTAATGCATAGATTATATCTGTAAATTTTTAAATAATTTGTAAATCATTTGATACTTCATTTTATCAATTCAAATTGACGGATAATCATAAAATAATATTATACATTGATTCGAATTAATAAAAAGAAGTATCAAATGATTTTCAAATTTTATAAAAATTTGCAGATTTGATCTATGCATTAAAAACTTTAAATTGAACGATTAGATCATTAAAATTTAATGTAGAACATGAGTTATTGAACGGAGTAAGTCTAGGTAGACTTACTCCTGGAGTAAAAGGATCCTTCCTTTATATATATATATATATATACACACATTGAAGTAATATTTTTTAGTTGGGTAAAATTATCGTCACTAATAAAGTTATTACTCTAAATATTTCACACAATCGTATATTTAAGATTTAAATTAAAAAAAAATTAGTTAAACTAAATCAATTTCATACTAATTAATCTACATGCACGATGATAAGAAGTCTCAGCTTTAAGTCTTTGAAAGATATTTTTACTTATTATTAATATAAAATAGAAAAAATGATTAATTTCTTAATAAAAATTGTTCTTACCGGAATTTGGTCGTAGAGGTGACCCATCCAGTAAGATCGGTGAGCCTCCTTTGCCTGATGTATTGGTGCTCCAAGATGGGGGAGGTACCTGCAAAAGAGACTCCGATGCCAAAGTTAGGGTTTGTATGAATAATAGTCTCGCATATGTAATGCACGTACCTTGAAGTGATTTAGGTTTGTCTTGGGTCTTGGGCCTGAGATAGGATATGTTGTGATATAATTAGATGAGGGAGCTCGTCTAGGGCGGGATCCTGGGTTTCAATTGTGATTTGCTCAAATACCGGGCTGATGATACCAGACAATTAGTCGTCCGGGGTCGCCCCGCGTTGATAACCCGAGCTCGGAGCCCGGTTGCGAAGTACGGATAGTACAAAAATATTATCCATAAAATTAATTAATATTTTTCTTTGAAAAAGACTCCTCATCCTATTATATATAGTAATTTTACTTATTTTCATTTTAAACATGAAATGAACTTTTATAAAAGAATAAAAAATAAGTTTTCAATAAGCTAATTGTAGGAGTTTTTTCTTCTCATATTCCCTCTTCATTACAAATTCCGAGATCCAAGAATATATTGTTGAATAATGTTTTTACTAAAGGTAACTTTTAAGATAAGAAAAAATTATCAAATAAATTTAAATTTAAAGTTCTTGTGTTTTTTTCACCTACCTATGCCTTTCCCTTTTCTCATTGCATCTTTAATAACTCAAAAAATAAATTTTAAATAAAATTATAATAATTATACTAAATTATTTTTATTAATTGAAAAGGGTCTCATCTAAAAATTTCCGTTATATTTTTTATTCTAGAATGAATTAATTAATCGGGTTTCAAATAATTTTAGTTGTTTAAGTATATATTTATTCAGTTAGAGCAATATTATAAACATGTTATAATGTAAATATTTTTTTTTGTATATAGAAATCTAACTCAGCATCTAGAGGCTAATTTACAGTAAGTCACACACTCTTTTCCATTCAAACGAGTTAATAGAACCGGAAACTAATGATATTATTATCATACAATGTGAAGGGTTTGGGTGGCAAGGTAAAATGGAGGTTCTTAAGAAGATTATGATGTAAAGAGGGAGTTGAATTCCTATGTGTACAAGAGACAAAGTTAAGTGATGTAGATAAGAAGCTAGTGCAATCTCTATGGGGCAATATAGTGAAGTAGAGTTTTTGGCACAACCAGCTAATCAAGCTGCGGGTGGACTACTAAGTATCTGGAATAAGCACAGTCTCAATGTCGTAAACCAATTTATTGGGGATGGATTTATAGGAGTGGAAAGTGTATGGCTTGAAAGGGGTATAAATCTTTTCATACTCCATGTTGTTGGATATATGGAGCAACCATATGATATCGAAGAAGATTTAAATCTCTTCAAAGATTTAAAGCATAACACTTTTTTTTTTCTTTGTATGCAACATGTAGGGATGGCAATGGGGCCCCATGGAGGCGGGTAATAGTAAATCCGTCCTCGCCTTGCTAGATGAAAATTGATCTCATACCCCCCCCATATCCGCGCGAGTATCCATTAAGCGGGTATCTATGAATTTCTTGAATACTCATGGATATCCATGGATATCCATGAATATTTATAAATTTTTTAAGAAATTAAAAAAATTATATTATAAATAATTTTAAGTTTATATTTAATGTCATTGAAATATTAAAAAAAAAATTATGTTAATTTTAAACTTGTATTTAACGTTAAATTTGTTAAAATAATAATAAAAATGCAAGATAATCAATAACTTAAAATACATCAATCTCAGATCTTAATAATATTGTTTACCACCTTTTTTGGCATCTTGAAAAATGAGATGAAGTACAGAGGGAGTGCAGTTAGCACATAATTAATAATGCATACCCTTCCTGCCATAGATATGAGCTTATTTTTCCAAGGCGCAAGCTTGTTTCTAATTTTATCCAAAATAGGTCTCCACATGGTCGACTTTCTTGGATTGTCCCCAAAAGGGATGCCCAAATAACGGAATGGGAAATGGAGGATTTTACAATTAAGCACTACCGCAAATCTCAGTACTTGTATTTTGCTTGACCCTAAAATCCCGAAATTGCTTTAGTGGAAGTTAACTTTAAGACCAGAGATAAGTTCATAGCACATTAGTATACACTTGATAGTAAGAACATTCTTCATAGACGGCTCCCAAAAGAATATGGTATCACTACAAGAAAATGACGATTTTGCGACAGTTATATGGCCTACATTGCGACGGTTAGAACTGCCGCAAAGACAACATTGCGACAGTTTGGGAACCGTCGCAGAATTGTCTGACAAACATTTATTTTTTATTTATTTTCATTTTCATTATAGTATTTTTTTTTTGTAAACAACAAAATTAGTATATAACAGGTACAAGGGTACCAAATCCATATACAAAGCATAGAGTTTTCCAGGGTTACATAGAAATATTTGATACACTTGTATCTCCTCACCATTAAAAAACCCTATCCTATAGTATATATAATATTTATACTACAACTCCAAAGATCATGGTTTTTTTTTACAGCAAAAGAATTATATTATAACTGATACTAGGGGTATCAACCCATTTACAACAATATATAACTCAACCTATAGAGTAGAGAGTTACATAGTATTTAGGCATTAATACTAAGATCATAAATAACAATCTTCTAGAGTTAGTACAATCTAGATCTATCCCTTAGAGTACTACATAATTCGTAAGTCACCAATTCAAGAGAGCACATGATAGTATCAATTCCAATTAGCAACAATGCCATTCAACACCGACAGCTATTATAACAAGTCCGCTTTGACATCACCTATTTATCCTTTATTTCTCATCGAATTGCTAATATATGTACCATCCCCAGAATAAAAAGTACCCCCTCTGGCCCCAATTCTCAAACCCTTTACAACTATGGGGAGATTGATAAAATAGGTAACAACCTTATACTTACACCTCATACCTGCAACTATATGAGAGAGACTCAACCACATCACTTGAGCTTCACCTAATTTCCCCATATTTTCAGCATTCGACCATTGCTTCTTCAATCCATTTTTCTAGAGCACTTTAGTTACTGATGCATGCACCTGAGTTAACAACCCATTGCATATAAGTATACTTAAAATTCTTCTCCATACGTAACCAAGACCAAACCGTACGTTGCGCCTCCACATACAACAGTTGGATATCACAAGTCTGACTTTTAAATCCACAATTATTTCTCTTTCCCAAAAGCAGCCCCATGGGGGCGGGTAATAGTAAATCCGTCCCCGCCCTGCTAGATGAAAATTGGGCCCATACCCACCCCATATCCGCGCGGGTATCCATTAAGCGAGTATCCATGAATTTCTTGAATACTCATGGATATCCATGGATATCCATGAATATTTATAAATTTTTTAAGAAATTAAAAAAAAAAAAGTCCTTTAAAATCTTAATCCAATACACCCCCCTTACTATAGTTAATGTGTATATATGCTCGGTGTAATGTTGAGAGGAAAAGGAAATTGTGGGATGATCTAAGGGAGAGAAAGTCAATATCTAGTAATTCAATCTGGTGCATAGCAGGCGACTTCAATAGTGTGAGAAGGGTGAATGAGAGGCAAGGAGCGAGTGTTGGCATTGGAGATGCGAGACATGTAAATGACTTTAATCAATTTATCTCTAACATGGACTTGGATGATTTACAAGTTGTGGGAAGGTCTTTTACATGGTATAGACCAAATGGGTCTGCAAGAAGTAAGTTGGATAGGTTCTTGGTCTCCCCTGATTGGCTTAGTGTCTGGCCCAACAGTTCCCAACACATCCTTCAAAGAGATATTTCTGACCATTGTCCTATTCTTCTCAAAAATGCATCTGTGGACTGGGGACTAAAGCCTTTTCAAACTTTCGACTGTTGGCTAGATGATAGTTTATTTCGAGAAACAGTGGTTAAGGCATGGCGAGAGTGTCAGATATGTGGATGGGGAGCATTTGTTTTAAAAGAGAAACTAAAGGTAATGAAACGTGAAATTAAAGAATGGAGAAAGAAGCATTTTGATTTCTCTCAGACAGAGATTAATAAGGTGGTGGATAAAATGAATGACCTAGACAAAAAGGAAGAGAAGGGTGAAGAAACAGAGGAAGACAAAAAGTATAAGATGGAGCTTCAGGAAGAATTCTAGAAGCTTGCAAGATTCAATGAATCAATTTTGAGGCAGAAGTCGAGAGAGAAATGGTTAGCGGAAGGTGACACTAATACAAAGTATTTTCATAAGGTGATTAATTGGAAGAGAAAGAAGAATAACATTGTTGGCCTTAATATTGGCGGCCACTGGATTCAGGAGCCTAGTAGAATTAAAGATGAAGCTAGATCCCACTTTGAAAATCAATTTAGGGAAGATTGGCAAAATAGACCAATTTTAAGCATATATCACTCCAGCAGAGAGTCAATATAGTCTCTCCTTTTGAGGAAAGGGAGATAAAAGAAGCAGTGTGGGAATGTGAAGGGTCAAAAAGCCCGGGACCCGATGGTTTCAACTTCACATTTATCAAATCTTTTTGGGAGACAATTAAGGGAGATGTTCTCAGGTTTATGCAAGAATTCCATCAAAATAGTAAATTGCCGAGGGGATGAATTCATCCTTCATTGCACTTATCCCCAAGAAGACCGACCTAATAGGGCTTGATGGATATAGACCTATATCACTTGTAGGTTCTCTATATAAGATCCTTTCAAAACTCTTGTCAAATAGGTTGAAGAAAGTTTTGCCTGATGTCATTGATGATTCCCAAAGTGCATTTTTGAGTGGAGGCAACCTACTACATAGTGTACTGTGTGCAAACGAGATAATTGATGTTGTGAAAAGGAAGAAGAAACAATGTTTGGTGTTTAAAGTGGACTTTGAGAAGGCATATGATTTGGTAAACTGGGATTTTTTGCTATATATGCTAAATCGATTGGGATTCTGTGAGAAAAAGAGAGGCTGGATCCAAGAATGTCTTACCCCAGCAGAAGTTTTCGTTTTGGTTAATGGAAGCCCCACTTTTGAGTTCCGTACTCAGAGGGTATTAGGCAAGGTGACCCTCTAGCACCGCTCTTGTTCGTGGTTGCTGAGGGTCTTGCTGGGCTAATGAGGAGTGCAATGTCAAAGGGGCTATTTCTAGGATATAGGGTCGGCCAACATAGAGTTCTTGTTAATCTCCTTCAGTACGCGAATATGTCATTGAAATATTAAAAAAAAAATTATGTTAATTTTAAACTTGTATTTAACGTTAAATTTGTTAAAATAATAATAAAAATGCAAGATAATCAATAACTTAAAATACATCAATCTCATAAGTAAGTGAAAGTCTCATGTTACATAACTACAATTATTCAATCTCATAATTCCAAACGAAAGTAAATAACTAAAAATACATAAATCTTATTGGTTCAATCAAAGATAGAAAATTAATCAAATTACATCTAACATAATTCTATAACATGCTTAACACATGTTGGTAACTTCATCAACCTCATTTTACTTGCTTTTATCTACTTCTTTTATGACAATTATATTTTATGCTAAAAGTTGTTCGTCTACAAGATTTCCAATGATGATGGCCATGATGGTTGCCACTACAACAAACCTATGATTATGGGTCAAAGAGATGCCCTAATTTTTCATTCTTCCCTTTCCCTTTTATCTAAATGAATCACACACATGCTTTTCGTTTCTCTCTCTTGATTTTCCTTTTCAAACGTATCTGCCTTTCAACTGCGGTCGTTTAAGGGCATGCAATTTCTTATGTGTAGATATTGCAAAAAGAATCATGAAAAGAATATAATTCTAAGATATGCTTGAGTTGTTGTTCCAACTTCCAACGGGCATAAGATACTCTATCTCAGAACCTTTAGGCCCTCGCAGTATTGCATAATTTTAATAAGCCCTTAGTAGGGTTTTGGGATTTAAAAATGTGTATATATATATCATATATGCTGCTCTATGCAGAACCTAACAGTGATCGAATTTGGAAAAGGTGGGTTCTTATTTTTTTTAGCAAACTGTACGTACATGGGCCAATGTTTCTGACTTGCGCAGAAAGGCACACCAAGGTACAAATTAAATATGAACTTAGATTAAAGCCTTTCATACTCCATGTTGTTGGATATATGGAGCAACCATATGATATCGAAGAAGATTTAAATCTCTTCAAAGATTTAAAGCATAACACTTTTTTTTTTCTTTGTATGCAACATGTAGGGATGGCAATGGGGCCCCATGGAGGCGGGTAATAGTAAATCCGTCCTCGCCTTGCTAGATGAAAATTGATCTCATACCCACCCCATATCCGCGCGAGTATCCATTAAGCGGGTATCTATGAATTTCTTGAATACTCATGGATATCCATGGATATCCATGAATATTTATAAATTTTTTAAGAAATTAAAAAAATTATATTATAAATAATTTTAAGTTTATATTTAATGTCATTGAAATATTAAAAAAAAAATTATGTTAATTTTAAACTTGTATTTAACGTTAAATTTGTTAAAATAATAATAAAAATGCAAGATAATCAATAACTTAAAATACATCAATCTCATAAGTAAGTGAAAGTCTCATGTTACATAACTACAATTATTCAATCTCATAATTCCAAACGAAAGTAAATAACTAAAAATACATAAATCTTATTGGTTCAATCAAAGATAGAAAATTAATCAAATTACATCTAACATAATTCTATAACATGCTTAACACATGTTGGTAACTTCATCAACCTCATTTTTGTAAGAAAATAAGATCAGAAAGTGTAGTGCAACGAATCTTACTTAAAACGAGATTAAGATTTAAGAGTTTGGTTACGAATCATATGCACCAAGCAATAATTTGAACGCCGCGACCTCATCATTGCCACATATCTAGTGATTTTTTTCTCCTTTAATTAAGCATATGATATGAACCATAAAATAATTTCATTCGCAGATAGAACAAGCATACGTTAATTTCTCGGGTATTTTTATGAGCATATTTATAATATATTTGATAGGATTCAGAATTATGCTCGATTGCCACATGCACGAGTTCTAGAAAAAAAAAAAGTTGTGTCCGAAGACCACTACTTGCTTTTATCTACTTCTTTTATGACAATTATATTTTATGCTAAAAGTTGTTCGTCTACAAGATTTCCAATGATGATGGCCATGATGGTTGCCACTACAACAAACCTATGATTATGGGTCAAAGAGATGCCCTAATTTTTCATTCTTCCCTTTCCCTTTTATCTAAATGAATCACACACATGCTTTTCGTTTCTCTCTCTTGATTTTCCTTTTCAAACGTATCTGCCTTTCAACTGCGGTCGTTTAAGGGCATGCAATTTCTTATGTGTAGATATTGCAAAAAGAATCATGAAAAGAATATAATTCTAAGATATGCTTGAGTTGTTGTTCCAACTTCCAACGGGCATAAGATACTCTATCTCAGAACCTTTAGGCCCTCGCAGTATTGCATAATTTTAATAAGCCCTTAGTAGGGTTTTGGGATTTAAAAATGTGTATATATATATCATATATGCTGCTCTATGCAGAACCTAACAGTGATCGAATTTGGAAAAGGTGGGTTCTTATTTTTTTTAGCAAACTGTACGTACATGGGCCAATGTTTCTGACTTGCGCAGAAAGGCACACCAAGGTACAAATTAAATATGAACTTAGATTAAAGCCTTTCATACTCCATGTTGTTGGATATATGGAGCAACCATATGATATCGAAGAAGATTTAAATCTCTTCAAAGATTTAAAGCATAACACTTTTTTTTTTCTTTGTATGCAACATGTAGGGATGGCAATGGGGCCCCATGGAGGCGGGTAATAGTAAATCCGTCCTCGCCTTGCTAGATGAAAATTGATCTCATACCCACCCCATATCCGCGCGAGTATCCATTAAGCGGGTATCTATGAATTTCTTGAATACTCATGGATATCCATGGATATCCATGAATATTTATAAATTTTTTAAGAAATTAAAAAAATTATATTATAAATAATTTTAAGTTTATATTTAATGTCATTGAAATATTAAAAAAAAAATTATGTTAATTTTAAACTTGTATTTAACGTTAAATTTGTTAAAATAATAATAAAAATGCAAGATAATCAATAACTTAAAATACATCAATCTCATAAGTAAGTGAAAGTCTCATGTTACATAACTACAATTATTCAATCTCATAATTCCAAACGAAAGTAAATAACTAAAAATACATAAATCTTATTGGTTCAATCAAAGATAGAAAATTAATCAAATTACATCTAACATAATTCTATAACATGCTTAACACATGTTGGTAACTTCATCAACCTCATTTTTGTAAGAAAATAAGATCAGAAAGTGTAGTTTTAGGGTTATGTGATACAAGAATAATTAGGATATTTAAGAAATATTATTAAACAGGTATTCGCGGGTATGGATCCATATAACTGTCGCAAAATCGTCATTTTCTTGTAGTGATACCATATTCTTTTGGGAGCCGTCTATGAAGAATGTTCTTACTATCAAGTGTATACTAATGTGCTATGAACTTATCTCTGGTCTTAAAGTTAACTTCCACTAAAGCAATTTCGGGATTTTAGGGTCAAGCAAAATACAAGTACTGAGATTTGCGGTAGTGCTTAATTGTAAAATCCTCCATTTCCCATTCCGTTATTTGGGCATCCCTTTTGGGGACAATCCAAGAAAGTCGACCATGTGGAGACCTATTTTGGATAAAATTAGAAACAAGCTTGCGCCTTGGAAAAATAAGCTCATATCTATGGCAGGAAGGGTATGCATTATTAATTATGTGCTAACTGCACTCCCTCTGTACTTCATCTCATTTTTCAAGATGCCAAAAAAGGTGGTAAACAATATTATTAAGATCCAGCGGGCCTTCTTATGGGGAGGGGAAGAGGATTCTAGGAAGGTAGCTTAGGTAAGTTGGGACAAGATTTGTTGCCCAAAACAGAATGGTGGGTTGGGTATCAAGAATATACAACTATTCAACGAGTCCCTATTAGGAAAATGGAGGTGGAACTTATTCCATCAACAGGGGAAATTATGGGCTAATATTCTGAAATCAAAATATGGTGGATGGGAAATCCTTGGAGGGGCTGAGGATGGACATAATGAATCCATTTAGTGGAGAGATCTCGAAAAGATATGTGGAGGTGGGGCTGAATCTAGCTGGTTTGATAGATCCTTGCGATGGAGACTCGGTGAAGGGGAGAAGATTAGATTCTGGCATGACAAGTGGCTAGAGGATCAATCTCTAGCTGAATCACACCCGAGGTTGTTCTTAATCTCTAATCAGAAGCAGAATTTCATAAGCACTATGGGAAGGTGGGTTGGGGATAATTGGTGTTGGGATTTTCAGTGGAGAAGGAACATGTTTGAATGGGAGAGAGCGGAATGGCTAGAAGTAGAAAGTCGTATCCAGAACATAGACCTGAGAATGGGAAACTTAGATTGCTGGGAGTGGATAGTGGGGGATGATAAAATTTACACGGTCAAATCAGCGTACAAGGTCTTACACTACCAGAAGTATGGGTCTGAACAACACTCTTTGATAACCTCGGTTTGGAAGCTAAATATCCCTCCTAAGGGGGCTATAGTAGTATGGCAAATTTTCATGAATAGCCTCGCAACATGTGATAATCTGCTTCAGAGGAACATCATACTGCCAGAATTGGAGAGTATCTGCAAATTCTGCAATGAAGAAACAGAGTCTACGTCCCATGTATTGTTTACTTGTAAAGTCTCAGACTGGCTGTGGAAGAAGTGCTATAACTGGGCTTCCGTCTCAACAGTGCTCTCGGCTCTTCTGACTCAACATTTTGGAAAACTTCCTTATTCTAACCTATCTGCGGCTGTATCAAAGAGGTGGAGAGTTATTGTCTGGTGTGCTATTATGTGGCTGCTTTTGGGAAAGAGAAATAATTGTGGATTTAAAAGTCAGACTTGTGATATCCAACTGTTGTATGTGGAGGCGCAACGTACGGTTTGGTCTTGGTTACGTATGGAGAAGAATTTTAAGTATACTTATATGCAATGGGTTGTTAACTCAGGTGCATGCATCAGTAACTAAAGTGCTCTAGAAAAATGGATTGAAGAAGCAATGGTCGAATGCTGAAAATATGGGGAAATTAGGTGAAGCTCAAGTGATGTGGTTGAGTCTCTCTCATATAGTTGCAGGTATGAGGTGTAAGTATAAGGTTGTTACCTATTTTATCAATCTCCCCATAGTTGTAAAGGGTTTGAGAATTGGGGCCAGAGGGGGTACTTTTTATTCTGGGGATGGTACATATATTAGCAATTCGATGAGAAATAAAGGATAAATAGGTGATGTCAAAGCGGACTTGTTATAATAGCTGTCGGTGTTGAATGGCATTGTTGCTAATTGGAATTGATACTATCATGTGCTCTCTTGAATTGGTGACTTACGAATTATGTAGTACTCTAAGGGATAGATCTAGATTGTACTAACTCTAGAAGATTGTTATTTATGATCTTAGTATTAATGCCTAAATACTATGTAACTCTCTACTCTATAGGTTGAGTTATATATTGTTGTAAATGGGTTGATACCCCTAGTATCAGTTATAATATAATTCTTTTGCTGTAAAAAAAAACCATGATCTTTGGAGTTGTAGTATAAATATTATATATACTATAGGATAGGGTTTTTTAATGGTGAGGAGATACAAGTGTATCAAATATTTCTATGTAACCCTGGAAAACTCTATGCTTTGTATATGGATTTGGTACCCTTGTACCTGTTATATACTAATTTTGTTGTTTACAAAAAAAAAATACTATAATGAAAATGAAAATAAATAAAAAATAAATGTTTGTCAGTGTCACGTGGCCATAAACTAAAGATAAGCAAAACAAATTCTCAGTTGATTATGGTTTTATTTAATCAATCTTTTGATCATTCTGAAATGAGTGGGGCAAGCAAATACACAAGTGCGCTGCCTCCATGCATGCGTATGTCAGTGCAACGAATCTTACTTAAAACGAGATTAAGATTTAAGAGTTTGGTTACGAATCATATGCACCAAGCAATAATTTGAACGCCGCGACCTCATCATTGCCACATATCTAGTGATTTTTTTCTCCTTTAATTAAGCATATGATATGAACCATAAAATAATTTCATTCGCAGATAGAACAAGCATACGTTAATTTCTCGGGTATTTTTATGAGCATATTTATAATATATTTGATAGGATTCAGAATTATGCTCGATTGCCACATGCACGAGTTCTAGAAAAAAAAAAAGTTGTGTCCGAAGACCACTACTTGCTTTTATCTACTTCTTTTATGACAATTATATTTTATGCTAAAAGTTGTTCGTCTACAAGATTTCCAATGATGATGGCCATGATGGTTGCCACTACAACAAACCTATGATTATGGGTCAAAGAGATGCCCTAATTTTTCATTCTTCCCTTTCCCTTTTATCTAAATGAATCACACACATGCTTTTCGTTTCTCTCTCTTGATTTTCCTTTTCAAACGTATCTGCCTTTCAACTGCGGTCGTTTAAGGGCATGCAATTTCTTATGTGTAGATATTGCAAAAAGAATCATGAAAAGAATATAATTCTAAGATATGCTTGAGTTGTTGTTCCAACTTCCAACGGGCATAAGATACTCTATCTCAGAACCTTTAGGCCCTCGCAGTATTGCATAATTTTAATAAGCCCTTAGTAGGGTTTTGGGATTTAAAAATGTGTATATATATATCATATATGCTGCTCTATGCAGAACCTAACAGTGATCGAATTTGGAAAAGGTGGGTTCTTATTTTTTTTAGCAAACTGTACGTACATGGGCCAATGTTTCTGACTTGCGCAGAAAGGCACACCAAGGTACAAATTAAATATGAACTTAGATTAAAGCCTTTCATACTCCATGTTGTTGGATATATGGAGCAACCATATGATATCGAAGAAGATTTAAATCTCTTCAAAGATTTAAAGCATAACACTTTTTTTTTTCTTTGTATGCAACATGTAGGGATGGCAATGGGGCCCCATGGAGGCGGGTAATAGTAAATCCGTCCTCGCCTTGCTAGATGAAAATTGATCTCATACCCACCCCATATCCGCGCGAGTATCCATTAAGCGGGTATCTATGAATTTCTTGAATACTCATGGATATCCATGGATATCCATGAATATTTATAAATTTTTTAAGAAATTAAAAAAATTATATTATAAATAATTTTAAGTTTATATTTAATGTCATTGAAATATTAAAAAAAAAATTATGTTAATTTTAAACTTGTATTTAACGTTAAATTTGTTAAAATAATAATAAAAATGCAAGATAATCAATAACTTAAAATACATCAATCTCATAAGTAAGTGAAAGTCTCATGTTACATAACTACAATTATTCAATCTCATAATTCCAAACGAAAGTAAATAACTAAAAATACATAAATCTTATTGGTTCAATCAAAGATAGAAAATTAATCAAATTACATCTAACATAATTCTATAACATGCTTAACACATGTTGGTAACTTCATCAACCTCATTTTTGTAAGAAAATAAGATCAGAAAGTGTAGTTTTAGGGTTATGTGATACAAGAATAATTAGGATATTTAAGAAATATTATTAAACAGGTATTCGCGGGTATGGATATCATCATACCCGTCCCGTTTATAAACGGGTAAAAAATTATCAGTTTCCATTATTCGCGGGGTACCCAATTAGCCTATCCATTTATTATCCGTAGTGAGTTTTACCTGCAGATACCCGCGGGTGCGGGTATTTTTGCCATGCCTAGCAACATGTATCTTTCACTACTATAAGTAATTATGTTTAAACCGGATAAAACATTACAAAAAAAATGTTACACACATTAATATAATATAATATAATATATATATATATTTGACATATAATTGTACACAATTTTAATATTAATTTTGAATGAAATTCAATAATATATATTATGTCACCGTGGTATATACCTACACTTTTTAATAATATATTAAAATATTATATATATATATATATAGTGTAGATAAAAGTGATTTTTATTATGTTATTATAAGATGTATGTCATTATATAACAATTTTTTTGTAGTAAAATTATTATAGATAGAAAAATTCTATGAATATTTAAGAGTAATGTTACATATACAACAAAAATTATACAATAATTTGTATAACATTACTTTTGTATCTGTTTCTTTTTATCACTTCATTTATTATGGAAAAATATATTATTAATGATAGAAAGAGATAAATACAAAAGTAATGTTTTACAAGTTATATAATTTTTGTTGTAAGTATTTCATTGTTCAATATTTAATTAATTAACACAACCGCAAAGCATAACACCATATCAGTTAATATTTAAAATTTTGTGGCACAACTATTTTGTTTGAAACAATGTGGAATATTAGTTGCTTATTGAGGTAATTAGTTTATACAAATTAATTATTCAGCGGTCCTTTTATTTAATAAACAAATGCTTAATATTTTTTATCCTAATTATAAGAAATTATAAAAATCTACTTTGAGATATTTTAATTATTAATTTTATTTTATAATTAATTTGATGTAAGTAGATGTATGCATCTTTTAACAATGTATGTTACACTATTGGAAGAAAAAATTATGTCATATAATATACATCATTAAATATAACTACTATCTAAATCATTCAATTCAAGGAGTATTTTTTGAATGAAATTTAAAAAATTACTATCATAACTTCATGTATGAATTTATTTGTCATGTCAATTGTCTATGTGATGATCCTGACACTAAATGTCAAGATAATAGTTTATTTTTATTTTTATTGAGATACAAATAAAGTCTCACATTATTAGATTATAATGTGAAAGACCAAAAGTAAAATCAATAGGGTTTAAACTCAAAGTGAAGACAATATCATATTAATGTGAAGCTATGTGTGTATGTGAACTCTAAATGTTCAACGGTCTTTTATCCTTATTATGTGTTTGGGATCTGGTTGTTGAAATACCTGTCTGGTATACTTTCCTTTAACTATTTAGAGCTCAATTCGATACCTTCTGAATGAAGTTTGGAACACGTTTTGAAATAAAATTCTCAAAGCAAATAATTGTTGCAGCCACTGAAGTGGATTTAACTACAAGAAAAAGTTAAATTTCCCACGGATAATTTCCCACAGACAAAAATCCGTCGTCCGTGGGAAATTTCAAAAATAAAAATAAAATTCGGTCCGACTTATCAATCCAACGCCTTAAATCAATTCCAAGCGTGTGGTTCAGCGGTAGGGGTTGATCCACGCTTAAGCAAGGTCAGGGGTTCAAATCCTGCCTTGTGTATGCAGCCGTGTTAAATCTTGG